TGGGGAGTGGTCATGATATCACGCCTTTTCCCAGCTAGGTGTTCTCCAATGCGTGTAGCTGATACCCTTCCACTTTCTCCAATACACGTGCTGTTACACGCCCCACATTGGCTGGTCTCTCAGAAATAACTTTTCAAATAGCCTAGCAAGAAAAAGAGGTCAGTCTATAATTGGTCCGTAGTCCCAACATCAGAACACGGTTCCTTCTTCTTCGAAAGGAAGATAACAGCGTGTGTCCATCAAAAAGGACCGTTGGTCACCGTGAAACTAATATTTAAGAAGAAAGTTTTACCAGCGTCTTTGTAGGATCCAAGAGCTGGGTCTCGACATCGAGGGTACAAGGCCTTGGCTCGCAGGAGGTAGAGAAATGAATACTGATTCATAAGCACCTGCTGAAATCACCTTGCTCTCATCAGCAGATGCTCTTTCTGAATTGTTACACATGATCTCAATGCATAGTTTAGTTTTTTTTTATAGTTTTTTATGAGTGTAGAAATGAATGGAGATTTTGGCACATTTGCGTCCCAAATAATCTTAAACTTTCTTAGATTTTATTGTACCTTCTGCAGCGGTTGATAATTTCTATTCTACAGTCAGTTTAGAATCAAATTCTAATACAACGATTTAACCCCTTTTCCCGACAGATGTGAGATACGGGCGAAGTTCGCACTCGATTGCATTCCTTGGAAGAAAAGTAGATGTATGATGTGGTGTGATATTACCAAACAATTCATACTTCCCAGACCTGGATGAGCCAATCAGTAGTTCCCTTCAGCCGCTCATGCATCACAGGAGTATTGGCTAAAATCTCGAACCCGCTTAGAGTCAAGAGGCCTATCATGGCATGGAACATGGGAAATGGAAGCTTGATATCAGAGTGACAATTACCAATAGGAGGTTGCTTGATGACGGAATGTGCTCATGGCAGTGCTTGCTATCAATTAAGATCTTTGCTCTGCCTTCGTGAGCTGGAGGGCTGGTCGCACCATGTTCGCAGGGCATATGCGTGTGAGGAAGCCCACAATGTCGTTTACCTCATTAATCCGACCCACTTTCATTGGCCCAACCCGTCGCTCTACCTGATTTAAAATAGAAGACCAGATAAAGGACATGTCAGGTTGTCTCAAAGAGAAATCAGCTGTGATCAATAGCTGCGGCCATACCGCAACATCACAACACCACAATAGTCACGGGAACTGCTCCGCCCCGTGGGTTGAAGGCGAACTGACAACTGTTGATGCAACTGTTTATTTGAACCAGAGTAGTGTCCGAGGACACTACTCTCCAGCTCACACTAGGGTTAGACTGACTCTTCTTCACAATAGTCGGCCCTTATATACGGGCTCGAAGGGGCGGAACCGGAAGTGTTCGCCATTGGTCCGTTCGGTCCGTTTCTGCAACAGGCTTCAAATTAGCTTTGATTCATGTTTTGAGCCATAACCTTATTCCGCTGAAGTGGAATGCTTTCGAATGATCACTTTGAAGATTACTTTGACGTGTTTCACTCTTTTGGACAATTTGCCATTATTTTCAGTTTGCTTGTGTTGGTTTTCGTTTTCAGCTTAATACCATCATGCATGTCCATTAGTAAATCGCGGGCGATCCTCCTTCCGCGTGTGAAGTGGGTCCCTGGCATTCCTACTGAGGCCCAGTCGGATCGCCCGCCTTCGGCAGCCTTCCAACCTTAGCCACAGAAAAAATTTTTTTCTGCAATTCCAGAACATTACCGTTTCACATTTGGTATATACCCCCCTAGTGGACGGTTGTAAAATTTTCGTAAAGTCAAGGAGTGGGAAGTGGGAACTGGATGCTCAGTGGAAAACTGAAGTGGTAGTATGGGTGTATTTGGATTGTTGTAGAATAAATAACAGGTAAATAAGTAAATAAACAAATAAATAAATACAAATAAGTTATAAATTTTCGATTTCGACCTCATGTTCACTACTATTCTCATTTGTCTTGAGACAAAAATATAACTTTTGCCCCTTACTTTTGCTGAGGTGTCTCTCCCTTACTTCATCTGGCTTCCCGCTGTCGCCCTTCAAGCACATTACCATCCTTCGGGTTGCTCAGGATACGTTTTAAAAATTTTTATCCATGGCACCGTTCACTTCCCCGATGCCCCGCCCATTGTGGGCGGAGCCTATTCTCCTATTGGTCCGTCCGTTTCGGGCGAACACGCAAGCATACAAACACACACACACACAAACACACGCACACACAACTTCTGCTTTATATATAGAGAGGATC